TCTAGAGCCCTGTGCATAGTGGAGCCAGATCTTGGTGAGAACCTCTAGGCACTGATGTAAAATAAATAATTAATCACCCTTGGAAAAGACACATTTGGTCCTCCACCCTCAGAGGTTACTCACTTTAATAACATTCTTCACTGTGATGCCTAAAAAGCATTGTGCATTGCTCTGCGTAGCTGAAATTGTTTGAAAACAAAACAGGAAAAATGCTCCCGTCACATCATGCTGTTTCCATCCCGTATAGAAAACCAGTGGGCTGCCCAGGGGACGCAATGACTTTTTAACCTTGGCAGCGGTGGGTGAAACAAGTTATTTCAAAATAACAGACCCGAGAAATGCTGACATTGTTCCATACTCTCACTTTGCAGCGCCGGTGTGCTGCCTCTGCATGCCCCTAGAACAGCACAAGCCACAACTCACAGCTGCAAATGACCTGGGGGCATGGGGCTTGGAACAGAGAAAGAAGCAAGGCAAGGAATCATAGAATCATAGAATATCAGGGTTGGAAGGGACCCCAGAAGGTCATCTAGTCCAACCCCCTGCTCAAAGCAGGACCAATTCCCAGTTAAATCATCCCAGCCAGGGCTTTGTCAAGCTTGACCTTAAAAACCTCTAAGCCTACAGCACCTAGTATTCCCAGGAGGTCTCCCATCCAAGTACTAACCAGGCCCGACCCTGCAAGGAGTTGCATGCTGGTCAGGGAACCAGAGGGTCCATTTAGTTATTGCATGAATGAATGTCAGGAATCAGGGCCTGCAGCAGAGCCAGTCTCTGGGCTACTTAACAAGCAAAGCAGCCTATAGTGAGCTGCCTGTTCAGCTCCACCGCCTGAGCCATGGGAAGAGTCAGCAGACTGACTCAAAGCATTTCCCCACAGCTGCGAAAGCTCCTGTGCCTGCCTGTTCCCAGCCCTGCACCTGTCTCAGACCCAGCCTTGCCTCGCCAGGTAAGCTGGGTCTGACCCTCAGCTCTGATTCCTGACTGACGCTGGCCTCTGGCCTTTGACTCCAGCTCTGACCCTGGGCTCCTATTCCTGGCTACCGACTCCTGGTCTAACCACTAGGCCTGGGTCACGCTTTCACCGCTAGGCACAGCCACCCCTGTCCCAGTCTCTGATACGTTAACCCTAAGGTGTTGTTGCTATGGAGTTTCAAGGCTTCCATCTATTTAGCTACTAGTTAAGAGGCAACTTGAGAGTAGTCTATAGGTGCCAACACAGGGAGGAAAGCTCTCATGCTCGAAGGCTTTTTACTTTAGCAGGCAGAATGGTTCCAAGAGCCAGTGAAATCAGTTGAAATCAGCAAAGTTCAACCTGGAAATGAAATGCCAGTTTTTGGCAGGGAGGGTAATTGAGCAGTTTACAGGGGATGGCATCCTTCTCTCTGGATTTGGACAACTTTCTGAAAACATGGTCTGGCTCAACCCGTCTTTGAGTCTGTCTTGCTGGGTGAAGCCCTCTGGCCTATGTGACGCAGAGGGTTGGATCAGATCCTTCAGAGGAAGGTGTAAGACACCTCCAGCAGCAGATGTGGGGCAATCTGTCCCCTGCATAAGTCTCATCCTGAACTCTAACAGTGCGGAAGTGGCTTAGGAGTCCTAACTGGTGTCCAGGTCTCTGGATCTAGGCTGGATAACTTTCTAAAACATGGGCACTCTGCAGAGGTTGCTGCACGCTGGCTGCTATTGCCACTTCTGACCGTTTAGCAGAGAGCACCTGCTCTGCCGCACACACCTTCCCAAGCTGACTGTAAGAACAGTCTTCTCTAGAGCACAGCGGTGCTTGCACGTTCACTTTCCCAGTTTGCACCATTCATGGTTCAGTAACCTTGTATTTCCTCCTCTCCCTGTTGCTCTGAGATCCAGGTTAGTTGCCTTCCACTCTGCCTTTCTCCTTTTTTTCATTTGCAGTAATTTTCCATTCAGCTCTAGCACATGCTGCTGGAGGTAATCGTAATGCGCCATGCATCACTTGAGCAGACCCAGAGCTTGCAGCCTGGCTTTTAGCCAGGCATATTATTTGTTTTCAGTCACTTCTTTCCTGTTCCTGCAGTTGACTTCAGCATAAGGCAGCGGTGCTGAAGCCTTACCAAACAGTGCTTTTCTCCCAACTTTCAGAGTAGCAGCCGTGTTAGTCTGTATTCGCAAAAAGAAAAGGAGGACTTGTGGCACCTCAGAGACTAACCAATTTATTAGTCTCTAAAGTGCCAAAAGTACTCCTTTTCTTTTTCTCTCAACTGTTTATTTTAAGTCAGTGTTAAGAAATGCCAAACAGGCCTACCCTCAGAATATACCCCTCCTCCATCTGAGCCAGGTTCAAAGAGCGGGGAGTCTTTGCTCTGCTTGTGATGGAAGCTAGAGGAGACTCTACACCAGGTTTCACTTTGTTGGTCCTTGTAGGATTGTACTCCTGCCAGTTCCCCAGGGACTTGTCTGATGGGCTGGCAAGACCCACCTTTCTAATGTAAAAAAACAAGCAGAAAAATTCTTAACCTCTCTCTCGCAACCTCTCAGACCTCCAAAAAAGGCTGCAAACCCCAGGTTAGTCCCCTTTGTCCGGTCCATGGAAGCTCCTGGTTGCAGTCCATGTACTTTGTCGTAACCAGGCCGGAGTTCCAGAGCTGCCTCCTCTAGGACAGTGAATTCCTTCGCTACGGAGCACAGAAAAACACACAGCACAGCCCTCTGGACCTTGGTCAACCCTGGAAGGAGACTGGGAAATTGCAGAGGGTAACACAGGATGGCACGGAGAATTGATGAGATGTTCAGGATAATTGATTCTAAAGACAGGGAAAAGGATTGGAAATTTTCTGGGTCTAGTTCCAACGGCCTGGGATCACTACAAAACACTGCTCTTGTGAATGACAGAGAGAGAGCCGATAACACTAGAAATGTGTGTTTTCTGCTCAGTGTCACCATCATATGAGCCTGAAATAAGCCAGTTGCTAAACCCTTCGTGGGCGCTCGGTGCTTGGTTGTGTTCCCTGGTGAGTTCAATGGTGGCAGGGCTCTTTTTTTGTGTTTGCGTGGGTATTGTCCTACGTCTCTGCAGTGTTGACTTAACCCTGCCTGTTTGATAACAGGATGTCCCTGTGAATGAGATGTTGCATCTCAGTGGACCTTATCCTGTATAAATATTAATTGAATAAATCAAATCAAACCAAACCTTGGCTTGGAGTTGCACCATCTAAAGGCACCCAGAGACTCAGCAGGGTGGGACTCTACCAGCCCCTGAGAAATAGCAACTCCTGCTTTCCTGCAGGCAGAAGGGGATGTCTCAAAATCCCAAACCAGGGGCCTGATGCTCAGCTGCTCTCTTCCTGCGCCTGGGGCAGGTTGGGGAGAAGATGACTGTAAACTGCCTTTGTAGTCCCTGCAGTCGGGGGCAGTGCAGGGTCCTGCCCTGCCCACTGGGCCCTGGGAATCAGACTGTAGCCACAGGGCAGTGTGCTCCTCCCAGAGAGGTGGAAGTTAGCTTCTGCATAAGGAGGTGTGACGGTTTATGCCCCTAGGGTCAGGGCAGCACAGCCTAGCGGCCAGAGTCTATAGAGCTGCCCTCAGGTGCAGGGCAGCATGGCCTTGCAGCCAGAGTTTATAGGGGTGGGGCAGCCCCGGTAGGGAGGCCCAGGCCCTCCCTGCTCCACCAGGCCGTGACCCAGGGCCCTAACAGAGGCGTAGCAACTTGCCACTGACTCAGCGGGCAGGTCCTACCGAAACACGCTGAGGTTTCCTGGGTGGGAGGTACCACTCTGTCACCCTCCCTGGGTCACTTCCTACCAGAGTCTGCACTGAGGTCTTCCATGAGACTTCAGATTCTCCGTGGTCAGCTGGGTTGGTCGCCTCCTGTGGCTCCTCCAGTCGCTGGAGTTCAAGTGGGCCCAGTGAGGCTCTGATTCCTGGCGCCATCAGCGGCTGTGGCTGGCCCTCCACAGGAGCTTCCCAGACAGGCCCTTCCCCTGCAGCCTCCAGCCCAGAATAAGCTGGGCTACTTCCCTTTGTACTGCTAGAGCATCTGGAGCGTACCCAGTCCTGCCGGGGAGGCAGGACTTCCGCTGTCAATAAAATGGGCTAGTCACATTAGTCACTGTCTGGGCTAGTGAGGGCTAAGCAGACCCCGTCACAGGGGGCTATCTAGTGGGAGTCAGGCAGGGATGCCTTAGTTTTTAGTCCGTTTGCAGCAGAGTTGTTTATTCAGCCTTGCTTCCAGTTCTCTGTTTTCACTTTCTTCATTCAAACAAAGCCATTCAAGGCTGGCTGCTTTTCTTCTGGGCCTTAACTGGCCACCTTATTGGCTCAGTGAATTGAAAGCGTACCAGTCAGAGTGGCCATAGAGGCCTCTGTGGCTGATCCCCCAGGGGCAGATGCCAGCTGCTACTCCCAGCCAGCGGATTTGATCTGTCAGCTCAGCCGGCACAGGGCTGTGCTTTGGAGCTAAAACCCAGGGGCTCAATTCCTGTTGAGCACCCGACCAACCAAATCACTACCTGCTCCTATCAGTAGGTGATGCTGGGTTTCCCTGGGCCTAGTCCCCAGGGAGGGAAGCCTGCACATGTGGTGGAAGGATTGTGTCCCCAGCTGGAAACAACATGTGTTCTTTGGTCTGGTACTCCCATGTATCCTCCTGGCCAGGCCCCACAAGACCTTTGTCTTCTGCTTCCTGGCTGAGGCCTGCGGTTCAGTAAACCCTGCCCAATCTGGAGGAGGAGATATTTCCCACATGGAGGAATGTTAGCCTGAAAAGCAAATTCTGGAGCACTTTTGTGATTTTATTTTGTGCTCAACTCTATTGCTTTGTGTGCTGCCACAACTGTCCAGGGACTGCAAATGCCAAGTTCCCCTGCAGAATTCGGGGCTGCCGGGGCCAATAGCAGAGAGGTCAGCTTCAGCCAGCAGGATCCATTTCCAAGGGTGTGGGTCCTCTGGTAGGCGGGGAGGTTGATGTGACTCATGCATTAGGTGGTTCCTTATCATTTTGCACAGAGGGAAAGCCCATGGGGGAGTGGAAGAGAGATAGCAGGCAGCATGGATTAGCGTGTGGGGGAGCGCAACTTGTGCTCTTTGGCTGAGAGCACAGAGAGCTTGCCCTTCTCTCCATTTTGGTGGGGAGCACTCAGAAGCACGCCTGAAATGGGAGCAGCAGGAGCCACTGCTGAGGACCTGGTGGAGTGCACCCACGGAAGAGTTCCAGCTGAGGACCTGGTGGAGCAGCACCCACCCCTGATGGGAGAAGAGGGGGGCTTCCAGGCAGGATTGACCAAACCACCTCCTCCAATCTCTCCTGGGGGCGAGGAGAAGGAAGGAGTCAAAGGTAAGTAACATATAGCAGGGTTTGATGCAACATCAACCTCTCTGGAAATGTCTCGAAATCTGCTAAGTGGAAGAAATTGCCTCAAGTTTCCTCTGTAAGATAGTTCTGAGGCCCTGGCCGCCATGCAGATCTCTGGCCCCTTCGCCCCCTCCCCCCATTGTGGCCATTCACACACCCCTGTGCAGGGCCCAGGCTCATACCTGGCCTGCAGCTCGTTGTGGTGATTGAGAATTATCTGTATGGCAGCAGCACCTGAGCTCAGCCTGCACAATGAGTGAGAGCCCCTGAGCCACCGACCTTAGAGGGGCTGCCGGTTCTCTGCCGGGCAACCCCTATACAACTCCTATGCACAGCTTCAGTGGCAGGGGGTTTCCATAGCCAGTGGAGGGGGCACTCAGATTTCCAAGCTCTTCCCAGAGTATGTTTCCCTGCAAGACCCCCCCAATGTTACATGCTCTTGTGTTTGCCATTTCCGTATTGTCTGTTGTTCCTAAGAACGACCTCCTGCGGGGACAACTCCGTGTTTCTCATTCCAGTGCCAGTTTTGGTCACATAACCATCTGCCCAAGAATCTGTGTTTCTGGGGCCCACAACAAGCTGTATAGCCTAAGTTTCCTTCCCCATGACACTGTTTGCGTGGCAGCAATTTCACAGGCCACAGCCTTGCTGCGGTTGTTAATAGGTCTCTGTAACAATTTATATTGAGTTTCCAGGAAGTGGCAGCCAATGGTGCTCCTTCTGGGGCACATGATCTCCTCATTCCCTGACTTTCCCCAACTTATCATTACAGCTTATTTTGTTGTATTCGAGCTGTGCCAGCTTTTATTTATTGTACCTGCACTCCCTTTCCATTTCGAGCTAAGATTGCCCAAAGTCACTTGTTCCAAGAGTTGTTTGTCTGTGGTAAGACTACATCATTTCCTCTTCTAGCTCCAAATGTAATAGAAAGGGAAATTATGAAGTCCCTTCCTCTTTATATCTCTCCATTTTAGGGTTCTGGACTGCACCCATTACCATAGATCAGCTCCCTAGTTAATGGAAAGGCCTAATAAGGGCCCTAGTGAATTTGATGGAGTCTTTGGTTCTTTTCCCTTCCCTGGAGGGTAAGTTGTTGGAGAAGGGTAAAGAAGGTCATACAGTGAGATCTAGAAGGGGCTCAGACTGGATTAGTCAGATTTCTTCGGGAAGGTTGCCCCACAGCTGGACACTGTCCATCGAGAATGCCTTTTCTACAGCCTCCCAGGGCATCTTCCTGGCCTCTGTGATCCTCATTCTTTCCGAGGAATGCAGCTGTCTTGGGGAGATGGGACCTGATCCATTCATGGCTCTGAAAATTGGGAACAAGATCTTAACCTGGCATTGGAAGCTGACTGGGAGCCAGTAAAGGGACTTGAGCATGGTCTTGATGTGCCTATCAAGTGGTATCAAGTGGAGTGCCCCAAGGGTCGGTCCTGGGGCCGGTTTTGTTCAATATCTTCATAAATGATCTGGAGGATGGTGTGGATTGCACTCTCAGCAAATTTGTGGATGATACTAAACTGGGAGGAGTGGTAGATACGCTGGAGGGGAGGGATAGGATACAGAAGGACCTAGACAAATTGGAGGATTGGGCCAAAAGAAATCTGATGAGGTTCAACAAGGACAAGTGCAGAGTACTGCACTTAGGACGGAAGAATCCAATGCACCGTTACAGACTAGGGACCGAATGGCTCGGCAGCAGTTCTGCAGAAAAGGACCGAGGGGTTACAATGGATGAGAAGCTGGATATGAGTCAACAGTGTGCCCTTGTTGCCAAGAAGGCCAATGGGATTTTGGGATGTATAAGTACGGGCATTGCCAGCAGATCGAGGGACGTGATCGTTCCCCTCTATTCGACACTGGTGAGGCCTTATCTGGAGTACTGTGTCCAGTTTTGGGCCCCACACTTCAAGAAGGATGTGGATAAATTGGAGAGAGTCCAGCGAAGGGCAACAAAAATGATTAGGAGTCTAGAACACATGACTTATGAGGAGAGGCTGAGGGAGCTGGGATTGTTTAGCCTGCAGAAGAGAAGAATGAGGGGGGATTTGATAGCTGCTTTCAACTACCTGAAAGGGGGTTCCAAAGAGGATGGCTCTAGACTGTTCTCAATGGTAGCAGATGACAGAACGAGGAGTAATGGTCTCAAGTTGCAGTGGGGGAGGTTTAGATTGGATATTAGGAAAAACTTTTTCACTAAGAGGGTGGTGAAACACTGGAATGCGTTACCTAGGGAGGTGGTAGAATCTCCTTCCTTAGAGGTTTTTAAGGTCAGGCTTGACAAAGCCCTGGCTGGGATGATTTAACTGGGAATTGGTCCTGCTTCGAGCAGGGGGTTGGACTAGATGACTTTCAGGGGTCCCTTCCAACTCTGATATTCTATGATTCTATGGCAGCCCCAATTGCAAAGGAGGTGGGCATCCATGTTCTGCACTAGCTATAGCCTGTGCTTTGTTTTCACATTCAGCATCAGGTGCAGTGAATTACAGTAATTCAGCCTGGAGGGAACAAATGCATGAGCCACCATGTCCAGGTCCTTGCCCAGGAGGAAGGGGGAGAGTTTCCTACTGAGCTGGAAATGGCAGAAAGTGCATTTTGTCACTGTTGCTACCTAATCATGTAGGCTCAGTGAAGAGACAGTCAGGACTCCTAAGTCTTCACAGTAGTTTGACAAACGAAATGACAACTGATGCTTTCAATGGAAAGGGATGGGAACAGTCTCCTGGCTAGTTCTTCAGAGCATTTCCCCCCTCCTGCTCAGCATCACTTGGATCTTGCCTGAGCTGAGTTTAAGTTGGCTACTGTCCCACCGAGAGCTGACCTTTAATACGTTTGTGGGGACATTGTAGCAACAGCATTGGTTGCATCTGTGAAAAATGATATACAACCGCATACCATCATCATGTTGTTGGGAGCAGAAGGGTTGAAAAGAAGGGGGGAGAAAATGCATCCCTGGGAAACCACACGAGTGAGGGCCTTCATAGAAGCGGAGCCATTATGTACTATCATTCTCGGGCTCTGCTGGAAAGGATCTATTAGCACAGAACTACAGCAGGGCTCCATCTACTCCAGCCACACCCTGTGAGCAAGTTAGCAGTACCTTTTGACCTATCCTGTCTAGCAGAGGCCAGGTAGTATGAGCATAGAGATATTGCCTGCATCCATAGTTTTGAGGCAGTCATCATTCAGGAAGCCCCTTAGAGACAGCATAACATCTCCTATCCCTGCCTAGCTTCATGGCAAATATAACCTATGGCTATCCTGTGTTTTCCCTGATGGCTATGGAGAGCTGCCTCCAGAAGGAGGAATGTCAGTGGTGCCTTTGAGTCTATTCTATCTAAATTTAATGGCCATTGTTTGCTTGACAGCTTCATTGTGTATGTATCAAGTTATTTATAAGCATTCCTAACAGCCAGTTGCGGAAGCTCTTATCAAAGCCTCTGTGTGGTGGAGGAATAGGCTACAGGCACTTTCCTGACTCAGATGCTGGACAGAAAAACCCCACCCCAGCCCTGATGGACTGGCCAAGAGGCATGTATTTATCTTCCTTAGTAACGGTTCTCTGAAGGAACCGAGAGGAGAGGCAAGCAGAGGAATAAGATGACCTGTGTCCGTTTCCATCTGGTTGTGGAGATGCCACTTAGTGGTTCCAGTCAAGAAACACTTTCAAAACAATGTAATCGGAAAGATAAAACAGACGGACAGACACTTTTCAAGATGCTATTCCCAGAAGCGGCTTGGTTTTTCTCACTGCTGCGACTCAAACTGAGAGCCGTCCTTGGAAAGGAAAGAAAAGGGGGGCCAGGGGTCAAACAACAGGAACAGACATTGAGGAAATGATACCTAGCTTTAATTAAGTGCATGTGCAAGGATAACATGCCACTGAGTTTGAGTCATGGGTTTTTCCTTCTCAGTGATGATTGAAGCACAAGTGTCTGTGTGGGCGGAGGGTGTTGTCTCTTTGATGCCATTTGGGGCCTAATCTACCCCGACCAGGAGGAGAGTTTGAGATTTCCTCAAAACAAAGGCAGTGCACATGGTCGGGCTGTGAACACCGGGCCCAAGTCCCCTGGTAACGTTGTTCCTAGGCTTGTTGGGGGAGATTTCCATCGGCAAAAAGGGCAGGTTGGTGCCCATGTCCCTCTGGAGCGTTGGGCTCCTGGATGCTCTTTGTGTCTGTGGAAATCTCCTCCTTCATTGTCCTTACCAAGCTTCAGTGATGCTGGCTAATGCCAGCTCTGCCAAATGTAAACAGTCCTGCTGAACTCCCTTTCCCTCAGGCAGGCTCTGTGAGGGGAGGAGAAGGAAAGGGATTGGTCAATGCACACGGAATGAATCTCTCTGTCTCCCCAAAGGACCATACAACATTCAACCTTCCTTGGATTCTTGAGGTGTCAGTTGTGCCTTTAAGTTCCAGCCCATATGCTGGGGCAGAGTACAGAGCCACCCCACCCCACAGGCGATTCAGGAGGGTTTCTCCCCCATACACAGACAATGCCTCCTGGAGCTTCCCAGATCCACAGAAAAGGAGCAAACAATTGGCTGTGCTGCTTTAAAGGGATAGGTTTCAGAGGAACAGCCGTGTTAGTCTGTATTCGCAAAAAGAAAAGGAAAAGGAGTACTTGTGGCACCTTAGAGACTAACCAATTTATTTGAGCATGAGCTTTCGTGAGCTACAGCTCACTTCATCAGATGTTTACCGTGGAAACTGCAGCAGACTGTGTATATAAAGTCTCTGTGTGTATATAAAGTCTGCTGCAGTTTCCACGGTAAACATCTGATGAAGTGAGCTGTAGCTCACGAAAGCTCATGCTCAAATAAATTGGTTAGTCTCTAAGGTGCCACAAGTACTCCTTTTCCTTTTCTTTTTAAAGGGATAATTCACCAGGCCCTGCCTACATGCTGTGTGAGCTCGCTGTCAGTTGGCTGCAGCAATAGCTGCTATGTGATGGTGCCCTGCAGACTGTCCAGAGCCCGTGAGCCATGTTGTCTTCTCTTTCGGCATAACCTGAGCTCTCATGACTCCCCCGTCTTTAACTCCTCCAGCTTTGGTCTCTGGGTTGTGATGACAAGGAGTGCTGGAAGTGGGTTTCTCTGGAGCCTCTCACCATTGCTCCTGACTCCATCCAAGTGCTCTTATTTTGTGTTTAAATAAAATCTTTGATTAGGTCCTGGAGCTACGCTCCAATCACAGTTGCGAGCCGTCAATTAGGAACACAGCATCCCCAGGCCAGATGGACAGTCATAGATTCTAAGGAACCTTTCTGATCATCAAGTTTCACCTCCTAGATAACACAGGCCAGCAAATGTCACCAAATCATACCTGCCCATCTGGATGAACTAGAGCCTGTCTTCTAGCAGGACATCGGATCTCGATTTAACGACTTCACATGAGGGAGAACCCATCACGTCCCTTAGTGATTTGTTCCAGTGGTTAATTACCCTGCCCGTAAAATATATGAGCATTATTTCTAGTCTGAATTTGTCTAGCTTCAGCTTCGTACTATTGGCTCTTATTGGACCCTGCATATAATGGAAAGACAGATCCAGATGAGGAGCTAATTCATCCTTACATGCAACTGCATTAAAACAAATATTAACATGAACTGTGAGCACATGCGGGGAGCTTCAGTGCAGATAACAATACTGATGCTTCACAAGGTGATCTGTATTTCTTGGCACTGAGTTTTCTTATTTGTGCTTTTAGGTCAGTGATTGTCACACTCATCGCAGCAGCTGTAAATAAGTCAACCTGATTTCTTCACACAAAGCCCAAGTTCATTTGACCTTGCTGATACCCTGGGAGTGCGGAACTATGCTTGCTGGAACTGGTCCAAAGAAGTGGTCTATGATTCATTCCTTCCTTCAGCTTCACCACAGCAGAGGCGGTGGTCCCCAGATGTCATGGACTGAAGCAGTTTATCAAACTGAATGCAGAGGGGGAAGTATGTGACCATCAAGACTCTTCTGGGATAGGCACCATGTTGCTTGCTGGCTTTCGCAAATTTGAATAGATTTAAGAATAAGGACAGGCTTTCAGAGAAGTCTTGTGGACAGCATGTGGATACCAAACATTTCAGTGCTGGGACAATTTCCATGTAACCCCCCCCCCATCATCTTTTAAGTCTCTAGTTGCTTGCAAGTGTCTTAGGAACTACAGTGCTGGCATTTCATGAGGACTGAGCCTGGTGTAGAATCTCAGCTGTACTGGAATCTCTAACCAACAGGCCCGTGTGCCTACCTGCCTCCCCCTATTTCTCCAGCCTGCCCCTACTGCTATAGGAATGGAAAGGAGGAGGGTAGGAGAAATATGAGGGAATATTTATTTGGTGTCATTTTTCTTGTCCCGCTGGGGCAGGGAGCAGCCAAGCTGAACATCTCTGGCTTTCGTTTTGTCAGCTGCAATACTCATGTGATGTCCCAGAGTGACAGAGTTACAGCAGGAGCGAAGCTTCCCGGGAACGGTCACTTCATTGTTAGGTGCTGCCCCCCTGGAGGAGACATTTAACTGAGATCCCTAGTACCCAGCTCCGGTGGACCTCATTGACATTCTGTCTCTCAATGAGACGGTTTCTGTGCAACGGTTTCTCTTGTTTCACGCTGTGCGGGTCAGGACTGAATGGACTGTTTGTTGTTTGTTTGTAGTGTGTCTAGCACTATGGTGCCCCAGCCTGGTTCAGGCCTCTCTGTGCTAGTACAGATGATAATGAGACTTCATTGCTACATTTGGGTATGGTACAGTTACTGGATACAACTGTACTGCCGTTAACTGCCTCAAGTGCTGATGGTGATCTGTTGAGGTATTTCTAATGATTACCTGGCTATTGTTGGGGATGGCTTTACAATGTGAAGGGTATGAAGATGGTAGAAGTTGGGATTTAGGGGTACTCCTGCTGGAGGAAGGGATCAGGCTAGCCGGTGAGCTGACTCTACATATGATTGTAGTAAAGGCTGGCCTTGGCTGGAGTTTCCCTCAGAAACATCAGCCCTGATTCTGTCCAGAGCTATGTGTCATGCCAATCTGGATGGAATGTCTCAAGTGTGTTTGTGATGAGAAAATAGCTCACTCCTGCCACATCCTCCCAGTCACTAGGATCCCTGCAAAGCTGGGCCAACATTTCTGAATGGTTATTGTTACTTTTCCTGACAAAGACGGTCATGTAGGATTGCCCATTTTGGTTGCATGTATTTCTGGAGGTTTCATTGCTTGACATCTTTAATTAAAGATTAATCTTTAATTCCTGGAGACTCCAGGACAATCCTGGAGGGCTAGCAACCCTACTGTCATTCCCTCATGAAAAAAGTATTGAGGCCATGCACTAATGTGAAACCAATTTTGACCCTTATTCCCTGCCACAGGGGAAAGAGGACACTTGAGTTTATTCTGAATCTGATTGTTCCTTGGTTTATTCCCTCAACCCTTGGCAGCCCCTTACCTCTGCCTTGCTGACCGGGTGCAACAGCTCCTTCCAGCTCTAGACACAGCTTTTGTGGGTACTGTGCTTCCACGCATGGCGCCTTCTACCACAACTGCCCTGGAAGCCCCCACAGGGCAGAGGCAGCATGATCCAGTGGATAGGAGAGTGGCTTGCAATTCAGGACACCTAAGTACTAGTCCCAGGAAATTTGCCCCTTGGGGAATGTGGTTTCATCTAAACCAAAAATTTCTGCAGGAAAATGTCAGTCTTGCCTAAATGCTTCAGTTTTTTGTAAAGAAAAACCAAACAAAATATTACACTGCAAAATGAAATTAAATTTTTCTGTTTCACAACGTCAAATAGAAAATACTTAGGTTTGACACGTGGATTCAAAGGAAACATGATTTCAAATGGGCATTTTGACTTACGTTGACATAAAAATGACTCATTTTGAGGTCAAAATATCATTTTTTTTCATTTTGAATTAACATTTTTAAATGGATTATTGTGTTTCTAAATTGCCAAATTGCCACTTTTCAGAACTTTTCATCCCACAAACATTTCAGATATTTCAAATTGTCATCCTGATTTGGGACAAAAATGTCAAATGATCAGAATTTCCTGGGGGATGGAAATTCCATTTTCCAAACAGCTGTGGGTCCGAGTTCTTCCAAGCAGAGACGGTCTCACAAAGGGGACGGTCTCAGGGGACACCATCACAGGGCCTAATAACATCAGCCACACTATCAGAGGCTTGTTCACCGGCACATCTACCAATGTGATATATGCCATCATGTGCCAGCAATGCCCCTCTGCCATGTACATTGGTCAAACTGGACAGTCTCTACGTAAAAGAATAAATGGACACAAATCAGATGTCAAGAATTATAACATTCATAAACCAGTCGGAGAACACTTCAATCTCTCTGGTCATGCGATTACAGACATGAAAGTTGCGATATTACAACAGAAAAACTTCAAAACCAGACTCCAGCGAGAGACTGTTGAATTGGAATTCATTTGCAAATTGGATACAATTAACTTAGGCTTGAATAGAGACTGGGAGTGGCTAAGTCATTATGCAAGGTAACCTATTTCCCCTTGTTTTTTCCTACCCCCCCCCCCGACTTTCTTGTTACACCCTGGATTTGTGCTGGAAATGGCTCACCTTGATTATCATACACATTGTAAGGAGAGGTTTCAGAGGAACAGCCGTGTTAGTCTGTATTCGCAAAAAGAAAAGGAGTACTTGTGGCACCTTAGAGACTAACCAATTTATTTGAGCATGAGCTTTCGTGAGCTACAGCTCACTTCATCAGATGTTTACCGTGGAAACTGCAGCAGACTTTAAGGAGAGTGATCACTTTAGACAAGCTATTACCAGCAGGAGAGTGGGGTGGGGGGAGAAAACCTTTCATGGTTTGTATGTATAAGAACATCTTCTGTATTTTCCACAGTATGCATCTGATGAAGTGAGCTGTAGCTCACGAAAGCTTATGCTCAAATAAATTGGTTAGTCTCTAAGGTGCCACAAGTACTCCTTTACTTTTTGCGAATACAGACTAACACGGCTGTTACTCTGAAACCTCTCACAAAGTGTGTGTCTAGTGCTCAGTGTAATGGGGCTTTAGAGCTTGGTGGGGGCTTTTAGATGCTAATACCATACAAACAATGAAGGGAGATTCCACCGCATGGAGGGGAAAGCAGAGCTGATTAACCTGTGGTGGGGAGGGAGGAAAAACCTGGAGAAACATAGCTGGCTCTCTAGCCTTGTTCTCTCCGGGCGGGCGGCTGGCTCATCCCTCCTCATTCCACTGAGTAAGAACCATGTCCAGGGAGTTCTGTCGGGGGAGGGGAAGGGAAGAACGTATAGGAGACCTGGATCCCTTTTTTCTTGCAAACACAGGCTCTCCATGAATGCGGAGAGGGCACAGGGAGTCCTTTCCTTTTTGTTTATTACCGTACAGCTGTTGAAAAGCCCACTGTGACCCTTTTGCTTTCCATGCAAGCTTTTCCCTATGGCTCTGTGCTTTTAGGGAATGTCTTCACAGCACAAAATGCTGTGTTCTTAACTCAGTTTAGCCTGTAGCAAAGTGTTGGGTTGAACTCAAGCTGCTAACCCAAGTTCAAAGCCAAGTTGCTGTGTCTTCACTGCTATTTTAATCCAAGTTTGCTAATGCAGGTTAGTGAACTGAGTTAAGAACACACCTTGTTTTGCAGTGTAGACATGCCCTTGGAGGGTCATAGGCCACACGAGTCTCTGATGAAGCAAACTCTTTACATCTGAGTCATTATTATTAATCGTTCCCCACCGTATGCAGCACTACACGCTCATTTGTGAGGACAGGCTAGTGACCCTGGAGTCTCTCTCCCAGTTCAGTTCTTTGTTTCTGTGGATTTCTATTAGTGAATTGTAAATACCCTGGTACTCTTTGAGAAAACTGAGAGCAAGGGCATCATGCCTGGCTGGATCCCACCTCAAGAAAGAGGAGAAAACAAAAGAGAAAGGAATAAAAGACGAGAGAGTGAGGCCATGTCTACACTACAAAATCGTTGACCTAACGTACATCGGCATACAGCTATAAGTTATAAAATTGCTTGTGTCTGCATATAACCTACACATCTTCGGGATGTGGTGTTCTGTCCCATCTTGTGGCACTGAGACCACTTAGAGAGAGAGTTAATGAGTCTACTCAACAGCCTTAGCTAACAGCAAGTTGGCTTTTAGCTCAGGCAGTAGAGGCTCATGCACTAAGCTCCAGAGGTCCCATCCTGCCCGCCGATGACTGGGCTCCATTGGCATTACAAGTGGGGGCTCGTGTGGGATTTCAACTGGGAAGCCCGCTTGTAACGCCGACACACCCCGGTTGTCCGCAGGCAGAATCGAACCGGAGACCACTGGAGCTTAGTGCATGAGCCTCTACCGCATGAGCTAAAAGCCAACTGACTATTAGCTAAGGCTGTGGAACAGACTCATTTTATCTCTCTCTTTAAGTGGTCTCAGTACCATTAGATGGGACAGAACACCACACCCAGAAGGTGCGTGGGTTACATACGCACACTTGGCTCCTTGTGTGAGCAGTGAGCATCCTCATCAGCAGCACTTGTATCAATTGTACTATCAATGTGGAGCATTGTGGGATGGCTCCTGGAGGCCAGTAACAGTCAATGTAAGCAACGCAGTGTCTACACTGACACTGCATCAACCTAATTACATCGACCGTGACTCTATACTGCTCGTGGAGGTGGTGTTACTAAATATGCATAGAGAGGCACGTAGTTGGCAGGAGGCAAATTTAAGTGACTACACTTCCACAGCTAGGGTGATGCGAAGCAGCTTACATTGGCCTAATCGTGTAGTGTAGACCAGGTCTACGTGAAACAACCCCAAGCACTAAGCAGCCTCCAGATGAGGCTGAGTTCCAAGGCTGACGGGAAACAGGAGCCAGACGCTAAGGAAGGAAAATGAGGACAAGAGGAAAAGCCCCACCCCAAAGAGGAATGTCTGCAGGAAGACGGGGTTGCAGGACAAAAGAAGAGCAGCTGCAGCAAAGAGGCCCAGATCTCAATGGGGAAAAAGGGGAGGGGCCATCTCCACAGGAGCAGAGGGAGGAAAAAGATGAAACTATCTAAAAGGTGCAGAAGCAGCAAATAAAATAATTGAAAATCAGAGTTTGTGGAGGCTCCGGAGTTGCTTTTCCAGGGAAACGGAAAAGTCTGGGTTTTCTGTGACCCTCTCTGAAAGCTTTAACAACAGTGCTGAGGAATGAGCAGGGCCAGGGAGGTCTGCCATTGCAAGGAGTTCTGCAGAAATCAAAACTGCTCACAGTGGCACATGCAGGCTGGGACCAGCTGATTCATCAACAGAGGTGTGAATGCTTTTTGGGGAGAGAGGGTCATGGGAACCCCAGGGTCTTGGGGAGGCAGGCACGGTCTGGGTTCTGTGAAAGTTTCAGCAGAATTGCCATGTTCCTGGGGAAGGCTTTGATTCCATCAAATCAGCACGACTGGATGGAAGACTGTTCTGTAGGAAAATACCCAGCCACTCTTCTGTGGGAAACATCTGATTCGATGGAATCAAAATGTTCTGTGGATACCTGGCCATTCTGTCAAAACTTTCTTTCTCCCTGGGCTAGCTGGGACTGGTGGGCTGCCGGGCTCCCAGGTCCACAGGGCTGGCTCATTCCTTGGTTAGCTCCCAGGCTCTGTAGCTAGCCCCTTCCAAAAACATCCAGCCTCTTCATCCATGAGGAAGGCCACTGGTAAGCCAAAAAATTCCATTTAGTCTCTCCTGAAATGAAATTTTTCTGCAAATCCTTTCATGTGAAAAATTTCACATTTTTGATTTTTCATCGTGATTCAGGATTTTTTTTTAAGGTGGT